GCGCTATCTCTGCAGCTTTCTTATGGCACCTGGAAGCATAGATTTGATCCAAGGTGGGAAGAGTGCACCCAAGTATTCTCTCTGCAGTCTTTACAACCCTGGACAGCATTGTTTTCCCCTGACCGTGCAGCTCCCAAACCACACACACACCATAAGTTAATACACTCTCCTCTTGTGGTTTCCAGCAACTGGCATTCAGAAGCATTGCTGCCTCTGACTTTGGAGGTAGAGCATAAGCATCACATTGATAGTCTTCTCCTTCATGAATTTGTCTAACCCTCTTTTAAAGCCATCAAGGGTGGTAAACATCACTGCCTCCCATGGAAGCAAACAGCCACATGGTGGGGTAGAGAGGCTTGTGACCAAATCTCTCCCCCCCCCCCCGGCAGCTTATCTTCCAGTTTATGTTTGTGTCTTGCTATATGGTGCGATGTACAAGCATAACAGTTCCTTTCCTGTGCAGAAACTAGGGACATGCAAGAGATATGTGGTAACCAGTAGCTTAGGAAGTTGCATGCAAAGTAGCTTGTCTTGACCATAAGCCAAAGCAAGGCTGAAAAAGACTCCAGTGATAAATTGCATGTCATATAGTATTTGTCAAAAAATAACAATTTATTACATGGACCTAGCCAACACTGATTTTATATATATTGGGGTGGGGGTGGGGGAGTTTAGATGTGGCTATCATGAAAACCTATGGAAGCAGCTGTCTCCAGATTTCAGACTCCCAATTCCGACAGTCTCAAAACGAGAATCATATACAGGCCAATTTGTGATACAAAGCAAGTCACTGGTCTCAAGTTGGATTAGGGAGGGGCTATTGAGGCTATTAATATTACATTTATGAGAGCAACAGGATGAATAAAAACGGACTCTTCTTGAAAAAAATTGTCCAGTCTTCTTCTGCACAGCCTAGCCTGCCTCGGGAATTTCCCAAATGCACCAGAGAAATCAAGGATACACAGTGGGACACCCAAGTGGGGAAAAGCCTCTCCTCCTTACAGAGGGGAGGAGTTGTGAGCAGGAGCCGTTTCCCGTGTTGGCAGGGGGCGTTCCAGCCCCCTGCCCAGCTGGCCTGGCTGCTGCGCCATGCCCCCAGGCAGCCAACCAACCAACCAGGTGGAGGCTTGGGGGGCGGGGTTTTGCCGCTCAACCGTGGCTGTGGCAGCACTTCCATTTTGTTCCGATGCTGGTTTTCGTTGGATCCAATTTTATCCAATGCCTAAGCCAATACCTCTCACATGCTGTAAGAAGAAGAAGAAGAAGAAAGAAGAAGAAGAAGAAGAAGAAGAAGAAGAAGAAGAGTTTGGATTTGATATCCCGCCTTTCACTCCCTTTAAGGAGTCTCAAAGCGGCTAACATTCTCCTTTCCCTTCCTCCCCCACAACAAACACTCTGTGAGGTGAGTGGGGCTGAGAGACTTCAAAGAAGTGTGACTGGCCCAATGTCACCCAGCAGCTGCATGTGGAGGAGCGGAGACACGAACCCGGTTCCCCAGATTACGAGACTACTGCTCTTAACCACTACACCACACTGGCTCTCCAATAAAGTTGTGGCCTTTTTTAGCCCAATAACCTAATATGCCGTGTCCGTGTGTCTTTCTTACCCCAAGCGGGTGGCGGGTCCTTGAATCACAAACAAGGAGGAGAGAAATCCCATTGCAATAACATTAATTAATAACATTAATAACATTAATTTTTGAATCAGGTAGGTAGGCGTGTTGGTCTGACGCAGTTGAAATAAATATAAAAAATTAAAAAAATGTTCACTACCACTTTATAGACCAACTAAGTTTGTTCTGGTATAAACTTTCGTGTGCATGCACACTTCTTCAGATATTTTTATTAATTCTTGAGCTAATTCAAGGGTGTAGTTGAATACCAATCTGGGTGGCATATATCAATTTATATTGGGGTAATTGAATTTTCTATGAATATGACAAAGGTGTTGATGGGCCAACTTGGAATCCACGATGTGGATGTTAACAAGGTGATGGAGTGTATGTTTGAAGTGACAGGAAAAGGAAGTCTGGAAGCAAAGGGTGCTGGGAAGAAGAAGCAGGAGGAAGAGCTGGAATCCATCTTGGGAAGGCTGTCTGAAGGCTGTCTGAAGGCTGCCTTCGCTGTTGTAGGGTACAAGTGCCTCTTGAAATGCCCATAATTGTACGATCTGGACTCCCTCCATCCAGATTGAAGGTGCACATAGCTTAATAAAGCTTATTAAAGCCATGACAGTCTCTGCCGCATCCTCAATTCTCCAAAGAAACACAGACCCTGTGTGGGTGCCTGGGACCCCATGGGCTTTTGCCACCACTTGGCAGAGAGAGGGACAGGCACTCGACTTTGGTAACAATATTCATTCTATTGAGATCACAGTGGTTTGGAAAGATCTTGATACTTTTAAAAAGGAGGATGATGCAGGATGATGGACCTGGTGGGCCATTGGCCTGATCTTCTTACGTTCTTACGTTCCCCTTGGGCAGCAGAATGGTCTCCCCTTCTCTCTCCTCCTCTGCATAGCCTAACCTGCCCTAGGGATTTCTCAAATCCACCAGAGCAACATAGGCAACACAGTGGGACACCCAGGTAGGGAAAGCAAGCAGGAGAGAAATCCCATTGCATTAACATTAAGTCTTCTGCTGGCACAATGATGTAGCTGGGTACCCACTTGAATGGCATATATCAATTCATATAACGGCAATTGATTTACTATGTGTATTTTTCTCTTATAACTCTGTCTGTTGTTGTTTTTTTAATTTGCTTCGATTAAAAATCAATAGAAAAGCAAATAAATGTATCATGGCAAGTCCTGAGAATAGCTGTGGATCACTGTTTGGGGGGCCGTCTTGTGGCTACCTCCTTCCGAATCAGAGTGACCGTATCTGCAAAAAACTTTGCAAAAGCTTTGGGACACTGTTTGGGGGGGCATCTTGTGGCCACATTATGGAGTGCTTATTTCCAATGCTATTTAATATCTACATGAATCCATTGGGAGAGGTCAATAGGAGTTTCGGAGTGAGGTGCCATCAGTATGCTGACGACACTCAGTTCTACTTTGCCATAACATCTGAATCCAGAGAGGCTGTACAGTACTTGGGCCATTGCCTGGAAGCAGTGGTGAAATGGATGAATAAAATCAAGCTGAGCTTGAAACCTGGCAAGATGGATGCAGTCTGGGTAAGTAGTCCCCGTGTTCAAGAAAATGGTCCATTGCCTATCCTGGATGGGGTACCAGGCAGAGTTCAAGGTGTTCCTATTAGCGTATAAAGCCCTTAACAACTTGGGACCAGTTTACCTACAAGATCGCCTAACCCCCAGAGTCAGCCCACCCAGATTGGAGAAATGAAACAGACTTCACCCCCTACTGGCACCTCACTTGCCCGACCACTGCCAGAGAAGCAAACCCAGGCAACTTCATGATTGTAATGGTGGATTTGTCAGCCTCTTAGTGCTTAGAAATGGAAATGGAATATTACAGAGGACTGCAGTGTCCTGTACCAATTTCAACAGTTTCCTTTTAGTGCACAGTTCAAGAAACATTTGGCAACCAGCCAGTTAGCAAATAGTACGTGGAACAGTTTACTGTCTCAAGCATAAATCATAGCAAATATAACAGATATTTTCAAAGTAAACCAATAAAAATGAATTAAAAGACAGTAACATTCTCAGTTACCGTAACTTTATTGCAATGTATCATGTGGGTTTCTAGAGAATGGAGATATCATTTCATTGCTGCTGAAGTAAATAGAGCTCCATATCTGCTGGACCCACTGCCAGCCACTTCTGTTTTCCACTTCTGCCCACGGGCTCAAATGCACACACCATAACATATACATGCTCTGGACATGCCAAAAACTGGAGGTTTTGAGAAGAAAGGCCCTGTTGGACCTGGCTGAGGGGCCAAGTCAAAGTTCAGCATCCAGATGTGGCACATTGGGTGAGCCAGAGCTGTGGGGCTGCCCTCCTGCCACTGCAGCCACTGGAGCTTACCTGAAGTAAGCACTATTATGTTCTGATGCAAAGGTTGTACAAAAAGAAGGGCACTTTTAAAAAGAAGGCAATGCAACCAGCACTCTCCAATGCAACCGTTGAGTCCCATTTACAATTGTGAGACAGCCGAGAAATGTGACGTCTGTCCTTAAAAGTATCAAGTATTTTCCTTGCCACTGCGATTTCAATAGAATGAATATGCCACTTCAAGGAGAATCTCCAAGTTAAAATGGGGAAGATATTGTTGGGGCAATACTCTGAGCATCGGAAGTGTGGTTTAATCAGAACATAATAATAGCGCTGGTGGATCGTGCCCATGTCTCTTCTGTCCCAGGATCCTGTTCTCACAGCTGACAACCAGATGCCTATGGGATGCCTGCAAGCAGGACCTGAGGGCAAAAACACTGGACCCACCTGCTGTTTTCCCAGTAACTTGTATTCAGAAGAAAATGGCCTCAAACAATGGAAATCCAAGATGCTCACGCCATACATTCATGGCTTGTTTTCTCCTATCAAGCAAATCTTGTTTTTTCTGTGCTTGTTTTCCACTTTGTGGTTTCCATAAAATTAAAAATAACAAGTGTGTTTGACGTATATAACGTGTTTGTATTACTTTCTAGGACAACAATACCTCTTTTATTTTACATGCTGAACAAGTAAAGCTCCTTTGTTTTCCTTCGTACTAAAACAATTGCCTATGATCAAAAGAATCCCAAAATTTCTAAAACTATTTTCTGTATACCTCATTTCTTGTGACCTGCAACAGAAATGTTATCATCACATCAGAAGCCGTATTTCTTAAGGAACTGGTTGCCAAATGTTTATTGCATACACGTGGAATATGCATTGAAAGGGAAACCATAAAAATTGGTACATGACAATGCAGTCCTCTGTAATCACATTTGCATGTGTAAATATTTCTCAACAATTGGGAGATTTCATCATCAAGGCTGCAGAAACTTCCATAAATACATGGAAGAGATACCAGACCTCATCCATAACCAGTGGAAGCTGAAAAGCATCTACTGCTTGGAAAAGCACTAAGAGGCAGACAGATCCCAACCCACCAGCAAAATCATGAAGCCAAGCAGCTTTCTCCTCCTCACTCTGATGGTCTTCTTTTTGTACTCAGGTAAGTCATATTTCATATTGCAAAATTTCTCTTTCTCGGAGAGTTGTAGGGACCATACAATCCATGGACAATTCATGCCTTCAATGAGTGTAGGAAGGCTCCACCTGTGGTGGCTAAATCCAGTTAAAATCTCCTTGCAAACCATGGTGTTCGCTGTGTGAGAGCAAAAGGAAGGAGGAGACATTGTGGTCAAACATAGGGACATGAAGGACAGGGACACACATCCCCCCAAAAACACACACTCTTGAGCCTTCCCACATTCTTTTGGACACTGAAACATGTCTGTTCTCAAGGTTCCTCCTATATGAAATTATACATGCCAGGAAGAACCAGAAGGAATGTCTTGCTATGTGAGATTTACTCTATCAAATAAAGATGCTCTACATCAGGGCTCTACATTGCACACAGCACCCACCACTGTTCACACCATAGGAGCCTTTTTGAAAGGTGAAGCTTGAAACACTAATGCCCCCTAAAGCTACCATGTACTCTCCTTTCTTCATGGTCTCCACGTGGCTCTTGTGACATAAAAAGTGGACCTAGCCATGATTCTTAACATGCAAAGCACCACAGCCGGGCATTCAAGGGATATCAACAGAACTGGGTCCCAGTTAGTTATGGACTAAACCAGTATATACAGTTATTTGCATTTAGTATAGTTAACTGAACCATTTCCCATTGATTTGATTGTCTTCCTATCCATGCTCAGTGGCATTTAAAGGAAATTGTATATTGCCAAGACAAAATATAGATGCATTTTTAGGATAACATAGGATGTACAAGATACAATGCATCTCACTTTTCAGTTCCTAGAAATAAATGTTATCAAATAGGCTATTATTCAACATATGGAATTTCTAAACAATTTTCACATTTTCTGTGTTTTGCATCTAGATGTTGTTGTGAAAGCAACATGGGAAGCGGTAAGTGGGAAATCATTCATTCTTATGAAAGAACATGGACGTAGCACGGAGTTAAGATAAGTGAATTTATGTTTCTTGTGGAATTTTAAAATATTCTCTCTCTCTCTCTCTCTCTCTCTCTCTCTCTCCTCTCTCTCTCCTCTCTCTCTCTCTCTCTCTCTCTCTCTGTGTGTGTGTGTGTCAATTTTTAAAATAGAATTTAAAATAAGGCAACAAAAAAACATCAACACAAATATAACATACAAGAGCTGGGGTTTTCCCAGGATTTTACATCTCTAGTCCCACCCCTTTTTAAAAAAAAGTTGGTGGTATTATTATTAGTTCCAGTTGCTACCCACAATTTATAAGAAAGTCTCAGCTTGCGTTCTGTAGTAGCCAAGTGGCGTTATTCTGTTATTACTAGACAGACCGCACAACCTTGCAGGCATATTATTTAGCCACTGTCTTAAGAATCCAGTCACTCGCTGTGTTTTTTTTAAAAAGTATTTATTTGCAAAAACAACCATCAAATGTGTCTAGCATGAAACCCCTAGAGCTGCCCACTCACAATTTGGCAGGATTAATCTTCTCTGAAGGGGCTACCATGTCTGCAAATTTTGTTTCGCAGCGTGAAACACTTTGTACCTGTTCTAACCCTGCAATATTTTAAAGTTTAAACTGTCTTGCATGAAATCCCTGGCACCGATGATCTATAATTTGACAGGTTTAAGCCCCCGAAATGGGGCCTTACCATGTCACCAAATCACATGCCCCTAGTGGGAACTTGGGATGAATAGAGAACAACATTATCACACAATTCCCTGCTTGCCAGGACAATAAATCAGCATTTCTTGTGCTTGAATGCACACCTTAATACAACACGTGTTGAATTGTCGTTTGCATTCCTCATCTTTGCCTCATTATTAATCATGTCATAATCAGAAAGACCTTGTAGTCCAAAGGTTAAGTGGGGAGGACCTTTAAAACTGTTGTGTCCTTCATCTTCAGAAATATTGCAAAGGGTATCCAAAACCAGCATGCACCCTGGAGTACCTGGCCCACTGCGGTTCTGATGGCAAGACCTATGGCAACAGGTGTCTCTTCTGCAATGCATATATGTGAGTATATCAAAGAATCATGCAGTCAGAAGGGACCCCAAGAGTCATGTAGTCCAACCTCCTGGAGTGCAGGAATCTTTTTTCCCCTCTCAGACATCTTTGTTGGAAGTTAAAAAGTACATGATTATATTTTCACTAAGCATGGTGAGATATAAATAAACGAAATAAAAAGAAATTGAGAATCAGCACCCATGTAGAAGGGAAAGTCAAGTGGGGGGGGACACCCCTCCCCCGGGCAGTGCAGGAATCATTTTGCACAATGTGGCATTCTAAGCCATGGCCCTGAGTTTTGTGTTGCTTATGAGGCCCAAAGGAACATGGTGAGCAGAGCTAATCTGTAGGTAGCCCTGAATTTGAAGATGGATTGGCTTGGGAGGGCTATTCACATGCACCACCCTCCTGACACTCTTGTTGCTGCTGCTAAGAGTGTTGGGGGGGCAGGGGATATATGCCCAGAAGGGCTCTATCGCCATCCCACTAGGCCAGACTCAACACAAAAGGTAGTAGGGTTGGCCCAGAAGAAAAATAACCAAAAAGCCATCAGGGAATTAGGGGATAAAGGTAAAGGGACTCCTGACCATTAGGTCCAGTTGTGACCGACTCTGGGGTACAGCTTCTGGGTCATGTGGCCAGCATGACTAAGCCACTTCTGGTGCACCAGAGCAGCACACGGAAACACCGTTTACCTTCCCGCCAGAGCGGTACCTATTTATCTACTTGCACTGTGACGTGCTTTCGAGCTGCTAGGTTGGCAGGAGCTGGGACTGAGCAACGGGAGCTCACCCCATCGCACGGATTTGAACTGCTGACCTTCTGATCGGCAAGTCCTAGGCTCTGTGGTTTAACCCACAGCGTCACCCACGTCTCACAATTAGGGGATAGTAAGAACATTATTATGAAGACCTACATTACAAAGGCCTACACTAGGTGTTTCCTTAATATTGATTTTGGAATTGCTCTTGGTAAAAGTCTGAACATTTGCTGCTAGAGAAGTATGACACAGATGTACGATGAAGGCGGGAGAAGGGAAATCTTCTACAAATGGTAGACCTGAAAAGAATATTGTTCCCTCTTGCTCTATATTGGCTAGGCTGACAGGAAGCTGTTTTCCTGGGTCTCAGACAGGATTCTTCCTCAGCCCTTTCCCGTCCCCAAGACACAGAGCAATGATGGCATAAGCTTTCCCATCTATATAGTATTTCTCTTTAAGGAGTTATCATGAAAGCTGCAACTTATGAATTCTCATATTTATTTACTTCTTTTTTTCTCATCAGCAAAAGTGGAAGCAAGCTGAAACTGAAATACTTCGGAAAATGCAAAAAAGTTTAAGATGCACAAGACTATGAAACATCTGCAAAAGAAGTCCCATTTCTCTTTAAAGCTTCACTCATCGCATCACCACAAAAAAGAAATCCATTCTTCTCTTTGCTTATCCTCTGTGAGCCAGTGAATATCTCACAACATCTTGATTCGGTTTATCAATAAATAAGCTCAGCAACATTATCAAACTCTCCATACATTTATTTGTGTATTATCTATTCTTAAAAATATTATATGATTTGGGCAAGAGATCAGTCTTGAAGTTTGTTACTAATAACGCACAATCAGGGAACTGAGTCAAACAATCAGCAGAATCTTCTCCCTTTTGAGTATGACATTTCTGAGTCCTGGCAATTGAGTTCTGCAGAGTAAAAAAACAAACAAACAAAAACCTGTAGAACACCAGGTGATTAGTTAGACACTGAGGCTATAACCCATCCCCCTGCCATGATACATTTCTTCTCTTTTCTATTGATTTTTAATAGAAGAAAATAAAAAAACAGAGAAATAAGAGAAAAGTACATATTGAAAATTCAGCTGCCATCATATGAATTGATATATGCCATTCAAGCGGGTACCCAGCTACATCATTGCACCAGCACAAGAATTAATGTTAATGCAATGGGATTTCTCTCCTCCTTACTTTCCCCACCTGAGTGTCCCACTGTGTTGCCTTTGTTACTCTGCTGGATTTGAGGAATCCGCAGGACAGATTAGTTTATGCAGAGGAGGAGAAAGAGAGAAGGGGAGACTTCTGCTGCACAAGGAGAATGTAAGAAGCAGCTGCTGGATCAGACCAATCACCCACTAGGTCCATCATCCTGTTCTGTATATGCCCGTCTCTGAGAGGGAGCAGCCACCTTGTTTTAGTAAGGGAGAAAAGCAGAAGAGCTCCTCACTTTCACAGGTATTGTTCCACAAGGAAATCTCAACAGAGCAGAGAAAATGGTGTCTTTCAGCCTTTTCTACTGGAGGGCTAGGAGAAGAATGGAGAGGAAGCATTGGAAGGTAATTCAACTGCTCATCAGAATATCCACTTTTGTTAGGAAAGGCTGGAAGTACCCCCATGCTGTGCAAACTTCAAAAAGGTGTCAGGTTTCAATCCTATTCACTCTTCCTTGAAAGCGAGTTCTTACTTCTGCCCTTTACCTCTGAGGGGCAAAGTGGGGCATGGCTCAGGCAAGATTTGGAACCCTCCAAACTCTCCAAGCCCAAGGTCCAGTCTTCGCCTGTCAACCACAATAATGCCAATGCATTTTTAACAACTGAGGGCTTTCTGCGCATCTCCTTTGCTTAGTCAGTCATAAAAAGCACTGGCAGCAGATTCCCGCCCTGTCTCCAAGGAGAGGAAACAGTTGAAAAAAGGCCCAAGCAACTATCTCACATAGAAAGGGCTATGGAGGGTGAGAGGGAAGATTCTAATCCTTTTGTGCTGCTGTTTTTTCTCTCAGGCGCCGTGTCTCCATCGAGCAAGACACAAACATAAACTGGGAGATAAGCTGGCAGTGGTTTGGTTACCAGCCTCTCTGCTTCACTGTGTGGCTGTTTGATCTTTTCCACTGCACACATCTTCTCTTCCTGCCGTGCAAGTGATTGTGTGTATGTGTAAGAGATGGAGAGAAGGAACATAGAGAAGATAGCCAGGTCCAGGAGCTCAGACCCTCCAAGTGTCCCTATTTTCCAGGGATGTCCCCTGATTTAGAGAAGCCGTTCCGGTTTCTGATTTGATCCCAGAATGTCCCACTTTCCCTTAGGATGTCCCTATTTTCATTGGAGGGTATGAGAGCTACCAGCTGCCCTTGGAGAGAGTTGAGGGTGGGTGGAGGGGAGCTAATTTTGACGGTATGTATAGAATTGGCAAGCTATCCCATTCAATCTTTTCTAACCAAACTGAATTTATGAACCTAAGTTAATTAGGTCTATTAGCTTTAGTGGATTCACTCTGAGTGCAATGAACATTGATTCCCACCCAGTTGCCGGAATACTTTGTGTTGATAATGATAAGGGGTGTGGGGTGCAGAGCTAATTAGAATCGTAGAATCGTAGAATTGGAATGGACCCCAAGGGTCATCTAGTCCAACCCCCTGCAATGCAGGAATCTCAGCTGCAGCATCCACAACAGATAGACATCTAACTTCTGCTTAGAAACCTCCAAGGATGGAGAGTCTGTCACCTTCCATTTGAGTTATTTCTACTGTCAAACAGCTCTTACTATCAGAAAGTTCTTCCAGATGTTTAGTCAGAATCTCTTTTCTTGTAACTTGAAGCCATTGGTTCAAGTCCTACCCTCCAGAGCAGGAGAAAACAAGCTTGCTCCATCCTCCATGTGACAGCCATTGAGACATTTGAAGATGACTATCATATCTCTTCTCAGTCTCCTCTTTTCCAGGCTAAACAAGCCCAGCTCCTTCATCCGTTCCTCATAAGGCTTAGTTCCCAGACTCTTGGTCATCATGGTTGCCCTCCTCTGCACACATTCCAGTTCGTCAATATCCTTTTTAAATTGTGGGTGCCCAGAATCGGACACAGTATACCAGGTGTGGTCTGTCCAAGGCAGAAAAGAGTAGTACTATTACTTCCCTTGATCTGTACTGGCTTAAGATCTATGTTTTCAAACTGGGCACAGGACTACTCCAACCTCTAGCTCAGAACTATTATGTCAGTTGCTGGTCCAAGAACAACACCCAAAAAGCTTCCTCAACGGGCTGTCCCAATCTCATCTTCAACACTTGGGCTTCAACATAGCCTTTAAATCACTAAAATCACTATGGTGATCTGCGGGCCCTACCCATCCTGCTCACCAAGGGATGTGCATTTACAGTATGTTGGGACATTTCACATAGCTGAATATCTAAAGAACTTGGCAGTGGTCAGCTACCACAGACTTTTTACTAAGGCCAGACAGAATGTGTTTCCTTCCAAAATGCTCCACGGCACAAGCAACTTTGGTGCAGCTCCAGTACAAATCAGAAATGCGCACTGTTATAGGTGCAGATTGCCCAAAGCAGCAGCATAATTGATATAACTTTGATACCATTTAACTTGATACCATCAACCATGGTATCCTCCAGATACCATTGGCCAGAGAACTGCTAGTGGAGAGGCTAGTGGAGAGGCAATGTAGGTGTGGACTATACATGGGTGGCTAATAAGGGCTGGAGAGAGATGCTGGGGTGGTTAGGAAGGAGATGAGGCAGAATCCACACTTCACGATTGTAGGTGTGATCCCTGGTTGCATTGTCCTTCTTTTTAAAAGGATCAAGATCTTTCCAAACCATTGTGATCTCAATAGAATGGATATTGTTACAAAAGGCGAGTGCCTGTCCCTCTCTCTGCCAAGTGGTGGCAAAAGCCCATGGGGTCCCAGGTGCCCACACAGGGTCTGTGTTTCTTTGGAGAAATGGGGATGCGACTGAGACTGTCATGGCTTTAATAAGCTTTATTAAGCTATGTGCACCTTCAATCTTTTCCCAGTAGTGATATATGGAAGCGAGAGCTGGACCATCAAGAAGGGTGATTGCCGAAGAATTGATGCTTTTGAATTATGGTGCTGGAGGAGACTCTTGAGAGTCCCATGGACTGCAAGAAGATCAAATGTATCCATTCTTAAGGAAATCAGCCCTGAGTGCTCACTGGAAGGACAGATCGTGAAGCTGAGGCTCCAATACTTTGGCCACCTCATGAGAAGAGAAGACTCCCTGGAAAAGACCCTGATGTTGGGAAAGATGGAGGGCACAAGGAGAAGGGGACGACAGAGGACAAGATGGGTGGACAGTGTTCTCGAAGCTACAAACGTGAGCCTGACCAAACTGCGGGAGGCGGTGGAAGACAGGAGTGCCTGGCATGCTCTGGTCCATGGGGTCACTAAGAGTCGGACACGACTAAACGACTAAACAACAACAACCTTCAATCTGTATGGAGGGAGTCCAGATCTTACAGTTAAGGTCCTTCCAAAAGGGGCTTCTACCCCACAGCAGTGAAGGCAGCCTTCAGCCAGTCTTCCCAAGATAGATCCCACTTCTTCTTCCTGCTACTTCTTCCTAGCACATACATACACAAACATACACTCCATCACCTTGTTAACATCCCCATTGTGATGGTGGCCCATCAACACCTTTTGTCATGTTAACAGGTTTGCTCTTCACTAAGCCAATCAGGCTGGTTTGGATAAGCCAGTTCAGGAATTCTCTGTCTGGCACAGCCCTGCAGCTTGTATTTTAATCCATATCCCAATTAATCAAAATCCTAGCATATATTCATTTCTAGGGTTTTTTTGGGGGTATCCCCCTTTAAATCTATGGCAATATGCTATTTCAAAGAGAATCAGAAAAATGGGGAAGGTGACCTTGGGTGAATACTCTGAGCATCAGAAGAACATAAAAATAGCGCTGGTGGATCGTGCCCATGTCTCTTCTGTCCCAGAATCCTGTTCTCACAGCTTACAACCAGATACCTATGGGATGCCTGCAAACAGGACCTGAGGGCAAAAACACTGGACCCACCTGCTGTTTTCCCAGTAACTTGTATTCAGAAGAAAATGGCCTCAAACAATGGAAATCCAAGATGCTCACGCCATCATTCATGACTTGTTTTCTCCTATCACCAAATCTTGTTTTCTCTGTGCTTGTTTTCCACTTCTGTGGTTTTCAAATAATTAAAGATAATAAGTGTGTTTGATGTATATAACATGTTTGTATTGCTTCCTTGGACAACCTTTACAATAACTCTTTTATTTTATAGCTTACATGTTGAACGAGAAAGGCTTGTTCCATGGGTTTTCATGGTAGCCACATCTAAACTCCCCACCCCCGGAATATATATATATATCTGAAATCAGTGTTGGCTAAGAATACATGTAATAAATTGTTATTTTTTTGGTGAATACTATATGACATGGAATTTGTCACTGGAGTCTTTTTTCAGCTTTGCTTTGGCTTATGGTCAAGACAAGCTACTAGTTTCTGCACAGGAAGGGAACTATTATGCATGGTATATTACATTGCTGCCCTCTGTAATGTCCTATTTCCACATGTAATTAAATTATATGGACTTCTAGCC